GGGCGGGGGGGAGGCTGGGGGGGGCCGGGGTTGGGGGGGAGCCCTGGGCGGGAGGAGGCTGGGGTGGGTAGGGGAGGCCTGGGTGGGGGGGAGGCCAGGGTTGGGGGGAGGCCAGGGTTGGGGGGAGGCCGCGGTGGTGGGGAGGCCGGGGTTGGGGGAAGGCTGGGGTGGGGGGGGGAGGCCGGGGTGGGGGTGAGGCCTGGGCGGGGGAGGTCCCCCTCAGGGCTGTGTGCTTTCTGCATGGGGAGATGGGGCTCCTTCCGCTCACCAGTGTTCCCGTGGGAGACGATGGCTTTGCAGAAGCGGTGGCCGTGGACGCAGCTCTGCACGTGGTGACAGCTCTCCCCGCCGTGCAGGGCCTGGCAGGAGTAACACTGCAGCAAGCCTGAGAGGTGAGGTGGGCTCAGGCAGGGCCGCAGCCCCCTGCCCCCGCCCCTGCAGGCCTGTGCTCTCCCAGCTCACCCCTCTCAAAGCCTGCCCTGCAGGGGCCTCGCCGCACCCCTGCTGCCCCCCTTCCCACCCCTGTCCTGTGCCAAACCATGAAGTCCATGCCCGGGGCCCCTGCGCCCTCTGGCCTCCCCATGCTGGGCCTCCACTGCGCCCCCTCTGCTCGGCGACCCCTGTTCAGCCTCCCCGCCCAGCACTTCTCTAGGCTCCCTGCTCTTGACAGCAGTGGGGGGGCCCGGCCAGGGCGAGACGTGAGGGCTGCGCTGAGGGTCAGGGCTCTTCCCTCCCTCCCCCGCCCCCGGGAAGGCAGGTCACACACGGTCCCCCTGATGCCAGCGCCCAGCGAGCCTGGCACTCCGCAGGCTCGGGTCGGGTCGGGGTGGACGGGCACCTCTGCCCCTGCTGCCGGCAGTCACGCTGGCCGCCGCCTCCTCCCCCTCCTCGTCGTCATCGTCGTCATCGTCATCATCGTCGTCACCGTCGTAGCCGTCCAGCCCGAGGTCCACGTCCTCCTCCTGGTCCTGCGCCTGCCCTCTGCCTGGACACACAGGCGCGTCTGCACCCCTGCTCCGGGGGCCGGGCACCCGCGCTCCGGCCGTGTCCCCTCCCCTCCACCTGTGCTTCACCCCTTCTGCGCCCTCTCCCTCCCCACCGTGGCCTCCCTGGTGCCCCCAAGCTGGTGGCCCTTGTGGTGTGTGACCTGGCATTGTCATCACCCACACCGTCAACCGCTGTGGGCCAGCCCTGCACACCTCCCCCCCCGGAAACCCTCAGGACAGGGGCTGATTTACAGAAGAGGAAACTGAGGCCGGGGCCTGCATGTTGAAGAAGTGGAGCCTGGGGCTGGGGAGGGCAGGTTTGGGGATCTGCGGGAGCCCAGGACGGCTGACGTCCACGCCCTCCGGCCTCAGACCCCAGCCTGCCCCCTCGTCCCCAGCCATGTCCTGCCCCCCCCCGCCCCAGCACGGCACCCCCCTGGCTGGGTCCCCCAAGGGGCCCCGTGGCCAGACAGTGCCGTCCCTGCCTCGCTGCGGGGGTGCCCGGCCCAGTACCTGGCTGCCGGGCCAGCAGCAGCGCCAGCAGGAGGGTCGTGAGCACCTTCATCCTGCGGGGCTGCCGGGGCTGCGTGCTCGCCTCCTTGCTCGGGCTCTGGATCTGTGGGAAGCAGGACAGAGGGCACTTCTGGGGGCTTCCTGGAGGCCCCTGGGCCCCGGCCCTCCCAGCTCCAGCCTCAAACAATGGGCTTCACTCTGGCCCCAGCGCCAGGCAGCAGGCCAGGGACGGCCCTTTCCCTCCCTGACTTCGGGGGCCTGGGGGAACAGGAAGCCACTGTGGTTGGCCTTGGGGGCTCGCTGGCCCGCACGCCTGGCCCTGGAAGCCCGCCCGCCCGCCCTGCACCTGCACCCTGTGGGAAGCAGGCCCAGGCCGCACAGACGCTGGGGCTGGTGTCCTGGCCCCTCGGGCTGCACATCCCTGACCTTCGCCCTGAGAGTATTTAATGCAAACACGATGGCCCTGCCCGCTCTGCCCTCCAGTCCGCCCCCCGCCCCGGCTTTTGTCCGTGCACCTCCCTCTGCCTGTATCCGCGTGGCTCGCCCCTCACCTGCTGGCAGCACCTCCTTCCAGCCACCACCCACAGCGCGCCCTGTCCTTCCCTGACCTTGGGGGACCCTGCCCTCTCTCCATGCTGCTTGCTGGGCGGGAGCTGGCCGGGCAGGGGTGGGGAAGCTTCCTGGAGCCTTGGGGGCCTGCCTTCTCTCCCCCTGCCCTCCAGACAGTGGTGTATTGCATGCAAGCCCAGGCCCCCCAGCTCTCTCCCCGGGAGCACCCCTCCTCCCTTGTGGGCCACAGACCTGAAGGGATGAGAGCCCCTCGCCGCTCCTGGCAGTGGGGGCAGGGCAGGGGGCTGGGTCGGACCTGGAGCCGGGACTGCAAGCCCACCCGCAGTGCCCGCGCCCCCCCCTTGGCCTCCCGAGGTCAGTCTCCCTGACTGTTGGCAGCTGGGGGCACCCGCCGCAGAGCTGAGAGGTGCGGTGGAAGCAGCTGAGCCCGGACCCGGCTCCTTTCCCCGCGCTGAGTTTGGGCCCCTTGGGCCTCGGGGCCTCGGAGTCCTCAGAGGATGGCTTGGCCACGGGCAGCCAGGACCCGCCAGCCTTCAGGACAGCGCCTGGGTTCAGTGCCCTCAGAACCGGCTGGGATGACACTTCTCACTCTCGCCTCCCCCAGGGCCACCCGCAGCTGCCGGAGGAAGCTGCCCCAGCCCTAGCCTGCACCAGAGCCAAGGTCACCGCAGCCGGGGTCTCGTGCGGCGCGCGCTCGGCCCTGCACCCACCCTCTTCATTCCTCAATTCTGAGGCCCTGACCCCCCTCCCCAGCCGACCCGGAGCTGCTCCCAGGAAGGCCCCAGGGGAGCCCCCAGAGCTATTGGGGAGCAGGGGTCTCCCCTGCCACCGGCCCCCCACGCCCACCCCCAACAGGTCAGGCCAGAGCTCATTGTGAGCGGCCTCCAGGGACAATAACATTCCCGTTGCTTCGCCTTCGAGTCAGCGCCCCGCCTTACCGTGCAGGGCCCGTCCCACCCGTGCAGGTGCGGGGTCTGACACCTCAGCCAGGAGCGACCCCGCCCCTGCACCGTCAGCAGGCTACCTGGCCCCACGTCTCTGGGGGCCTCTGGGGGTGAGGTCCCCAAGCTTGCCACCTCTAGACCGGCGCCCTCCCCACCCTGTGCCCACGTCACACCCCCCAGGACCTCCTCGGAACCCCAGCTCCCCCACGGCTTCTCTCTTGGGTTTCCAGCCTCCTCTCCTGCCTTTTCCTCGTTTCCTTTTGGTTTCGGTTTATTGTGGTAAGACACACATAACATAAAAGATGCCACCTTAACCGGCGATGGGCGACACTGTTGTGCCGCCTTCCCCGCCGTCCACCTCCAGAGCTTTTCATCCAAACAGACACTCTACCCATTAAACACCAACTCGCCCGCCCAGCCCCTGGCCCCGCCGCCGCCTCTGGCTCTGAACATGGTGGCTCCAGGGGCCTCTCAGAAGTGAAACATGCAGTATTTGTCCTCTGTGACTGGCTGAGTCACCGAGCAGAAGGCCTTCTGGGGCACCCATGCTGTAGCACGTGACAGATTTCCCCTCCTTGTTAAGGCCGAATAGTCTTCTGTCCTGTGGCTCCATTGCATTTGCTTTACCCATTCATTCGCCCCGACGGACGCTGGGATGGCGTGTGGTTCTGGCCACTGAGACTTGATGTGTGCACACGATGTGCGAGTCTGGTCAAGTCCCTGCCTTCACTCTGGGTGTGTGCTCAGGGGCGGGGTTGCTGGAGCCTATGGGGGTCTGTGGTTAATTGGTATCGGTTCCTGTCCTTCTGCGTGTAAACACCCATGTGTGTCTCATTAAAAAAAAATAATAAAAAGCCTTGAGAGATCCCCTCTTCCCTTACTTTTCTACCGTCTCTTTCCTTGTGCAGCTCTTGGTGGAGCAAGTGGTGACATCCTCACCAGCTGGGAGCTGAGCTCTCATCCACAGGCTTCCACGCGGAAACGTGGAAGGGGGTCAGAGCATCCCAGGGGTGGCGGCATCTCCAGCCACGCGGCACTTGCGCCTGCCACACAGCCTGCCCACCAGGCCACCCCTCCCTTTGCCTGGGGCACTGGAGGGACACTGGGCACTGCAATCCCCAGAGACCCACTCCTCACTCCGTCCCCTGCTGAGGGATTCCTTGCTTGGCCGCCCAGATGTCTGGGGCACCAGTGCTTCATATTGGGGCTCCCCTTGGGGAAATCAATGGGGGGGCACATCATGCATGCCATTTATTTGAAATCAATCCCCCTCACACTCACATTTTAGAAAAATGCTGAAAATAATTTTGCAGGGATTCTCTGCAACCATATAAAGGAAGGAAGAAGCTCTTTGTGTCGTGAATCAGAAAACTACTACCTGGATAAAGCCGCGGCTGAAGAGCTGCACGGGTGCTACTTTTTGAATGAATAGGGACGAAACGGGATGTGCGCCCAGGAGACTTGGCACGCTGCACCATCTCCAGTCTCCACAGTAGCGTCTTCCATTCAGATATGCCCCCTGGGCCTATCTGCAAAACAAAAATCATTGGCGGTGGGGGACAAGGCCTGGGGGCCTGGAAGGAAAGACCCTGACGGCCGAGATGGGGATAGAAGTCTGTGAGGGGGTGGGGATCACTCAAGTCCAGGGGCTCAGGCTGAGCGGAGCCCCTCACGGCTCTGGGCTGGGTCGGACCCCAGGCTGGCTGCTTGCTGAGGTCCGTCTGGCAGCAGGGTGTCTACTCATCCAAGGACAGCAGAGGTCCCGCGTCCCGAGAGGTCCCACTTGGGTTCCTGGCACGTATGGTGGCAGAACTTCAAAACGGGGCGTGAAGATTATACAAGGAAACGTCACTTGGAGCCACCACCGGCCGCTCTCCCCTCCGACCGCTCCTCAGCATCAGGTCCCGCGGGACAGGCGCCCGGCTGGTGCGGCCACTCCAGGGCGGGGCTGCGGAAGGGAAATTTCCTCCTCCCCCAGCAACAGCCCAGCCAATGAGAGACAGTCGCATGTAGCCAATGAGGAGCCACTACACTTCCAGGTTCGGCCAATGGACTTTCAGTTTACAACAGCCCTCTATAAAAGAGCTTCCTTCGCCTTGTTCCGCCCACTCACTTCTTACTTGCTTGTGCAGGGTGGTTCTTCGCTGCTGTGCCCTAATAAGTCTGTTTTTCTTGGTAAGATAACGGGCCGTTTTATTTTTAAGTGTTAGAAAACAAAATCCGATGGAGTGAACTTGAAGATCTACCTGGCTTTATCAAATCATTCGTGAATCAGGCATCATCCCATCTAGCAAGCAGAGGGCAGCTGCGAGAAGTTGTACAAGATGGAAAGAGAGCAAGAAGGTCGTGTTAACCTTAAAAAATAAGACTGCATCTAAAACCTGTTCATATAATTAGAGTCAGGCAGTAGGTACTCTTTCTGGATTCTTTTATTCCTGGGAGGCAGTGAGATCCGTCTGTATTGCGGAGGTTCGCTAGCATTTGTTTCTTTTAAGTGCTACACAGTATTGTGTCATGGGACTACACCACAATTTAAAAAAATCCATCATACAGCTAATGAGCTTTGGATAGTTCTCAGTCTTGAGCTGTTTTAAATGGCGCTGCTAAGAACAGTGTTTCATGAAAAGGATTGTGATAGAATTTACATAGAGCTAAGTGTGCAAACAGAAGTGTATAAATTAATGAAATTATACATATGTACAGTAAAACCTTAGATGGCGAGTGACTTGTTCTGCGAGGGTCCCGCAAGATAAGCAAACATTTCTTTTTTTTTTTTTTTTTAATTTTTTTTTTTTTTTTTTTTAATATTTTTTATTTATTTCTAGGAGAGAGAGAGAGAGAGAGAGACAGCGTGAGCAGGGGAGGGTCAGAGAGAGAGGGGGAGTCACAGACTGAAACAGGCTCCAGGCTCTGAGCTGGCAGTCAGCACAGAGCCCGACGCGGGGCTCGAACCCACGAACCGCGAGATCATGACCCAAGCGAAAGTCGGACGCTTAACCGACTACGCCACCCAGGCGCCCCTAGATAAGCAAACATTTCTAATAAACTTTAACTTGACAAACGAGTCATGTCTTGCAATATGAGTAGTATGTGACACTGAAAGTCACATGATCACAACTGAGCCAATGGTTCTGTGTGTGTGTGTGTGTGTGTGTGTGTGTGTGGAGAGGGGGGGTTGTGGGCGATCACTGCTCACGCTCGGATGCTTGGTCTCAGGCCTCAGTGTTTGGCAGAAATCAGTGATTTTTCTGAATGTTGGAAGGTGCCCACAATTGGCACTACTGTATTTTTTGCCACCTTAAAGCACCTGTGGACAGTCCTTTGCTTTTCCATCCAAGAGTGAGCTTAGGAACACTTGCCTCATTCTAAGTCAGGCTGCCTGCAGACAGAGACCCTTTCCTCTGCTGCCTTATTGCCAGTTCCATTACATACAGTGTATGCCAAGAATTTATACTTACTGTAGTCAATATCCGTGTGAGCGTACACAGTGGCCCCCATGCAGAAAAAGTTTGGAAAGAAAGGTGGTAAGAAGGAAATGATTAGGGTGGAAGTTAAGAAGAAAATCATCGAGAAATATGTGCGAGGT